TGTCTTTTTTTTTGCTGCAGTGCTTTCCTTACTTTTAGAAGAAATACGGGTACATTCAGAATGCTGCACAAGCAAACATTGTTATGAGCATCCACAGACTGAACGTGCAATGTGTTCTTCCGATGTGTTGTTTTCTGCCTTCCTTGATATCTTCCCACTTACCTATGAAAAAGAATGGTAATGTTTAAAGTACAGATTCATTTTTAAGGGTTTTTTTGTTGTTGTTGTTGTTAGGAGCCAGGAAGAGCGATGCTGTAAAAAATACCTGGCTTTGAAACGACTGAAGTACTTTAAAAAGGACATGGAAAGAATAAGACAGCTGGACGTGAGAGCTGAAAGGGAACGTGAGGAAAATGGGCTTAAATGGTAAGGAGCCATTGAGATCCTCATTTCAGATGAGGCTGTCATGGTTTTAGAGTTGTCTTTTGTACAAAAAGCTGTAATTCTACTCCTTTTCTACTCAAAGTATCACTAGAAAGCGTTGAAATTGGTTGCTGAAAATGCAGCCTTCACAAACTGGTGGCAAAAAAAAACCCAGGTATTCCTAGGAGCAGCCTGCTCAGGAGACAAGATAATTGGGTATGGTAAGAAAAGGGATGGGGAAGATTTCCTTCTGGAGATACTGGGGACAACAAGTGCTCTGTCTGTGCATTCATAGATGCTCTCCAGCATGGAGCTCTCTAAGAAACTTCGTCCATCAGGGAGTATGTAAAAACACTGTACCCTGAAGAGGAGAGATGCTTTATCAATGTACATGGGTTAAAGTCACAGCAACCTCTGGATGAACTGGGAATTCACAGTGCTAAAACTGATGGTGAAGAAACTCTGATTCAAGCTGTCCATCCATGTAAAAAAAATATATATTTCCCTGCCAGTGTGGATATTGACTGGGTCCAGTGATCAGCTTCCAGATCCACACTATAAATAGCCTACAGGAATACCTCAGAAAATCTCAGCATGTTCCCTGCCATGAGAACCCTTCAGCCATGGAAATACAGGGAAAAAAAGCTGTGTGGAACATTTATTTCAGCCTGCCCTCTTTGGTCTCCTTGCTAGTAAGCCTTCTGTCCCTCATACATTGAAGTCAGTTTCTTATCTTAGGTCCAACTTGCAGGTGGCCCAGGAACCCATCAGTCATGAGTTAATTAATAAACTTAGCCTTGGCCTGTATAGCAAAACTAATTTTAGTTGCCTAGCGTATGCTCCAGCTGTTGCCCACATTGAAGTTCTGCCATGTAAATAAGCCCCAGAGCTGAAGTGGATGAGTTTTTACTGTTATACACTCCCACTCAACATCTCCATAGGGACGCAAAGAATGAAATCTCTGAGACGTTTGGTCCAGCCCCAGGGGGGCACAAAGTCATGACAGCGCAATTGCCTTCACTGTGGCACTTACTCCATTTACAACAGGGCTGTTTTGTTTCCATACTCTTGCAAACACTGCCTTGCCAGGAAAGCTGAATTGCAGTGGGAACACTTTAATGGTATCTGCTGTCAGTCTAGCTGCTTTTTTCTCTCTCAAAAGTAAAATAAAAGCCAACCAAAAACTGAGATAATATAAAATATGAACAGTGGGCTGTGAATGTGCTGACCTTCCTCAAAGAATATCTTGATGCATGGATGGGTAATGCAAAACCTGTTTGTGAGACAGTGATGGGAACTGGGCTAACCTAGCCAGGGAGAGTAATGAGTTGCTTCAACAGCCATACCAGTAGTATGCAACCAAGCATAGAAGTGTCTCTACTGAAGAGGAGAACCTGTGTGCTTCCCTTTTCACTGGTTTAAGGAAGAAATTCCTCACCCATCTCCTGCTGTTCCGGTAAAACATATCCTAAACTATGGGAAGGCAGAACTCCCTGCTGCCAAGCTGATATGCCTCAGCCATGCGTGTTCTTGGTAGGCTTGGAGCATCAATCTCTAGCACTGTCAAGGCAGCACTGTAGAATTTATACAGAACATTAGGGGAAAAAATGTCAGTCTTTTCACAAGGGTTTTCTTTTTATTGTAATGTGTAATTCTCCTTCTGAGTCTCTATATTCAGAATTAAATGATAAAGGCTGTGTGTTACAGCACTGTCACGTTGCTGAGATTTATGCCAGCGCATAGAGGAGAATGGTGTTAACAGAGAGAAAAGGGATAGGAAGGAGCATCAGGAAGTGTGTCAAATCAGACACTTGATTGCACTGGAAAATCCACAGAGGCTAAAGATTAAGAGGATATTTCTTGTAAAATGAAAACTTTGTTAGCTTTTTGTTATTTGCTTTCATAACCACGTTTGTCATTCAGAATTTAAACGAACAGCAAAACATCTTTTTTAGTCTCTGTAAAGGCAGCCGATGCACAACTCCTGTAAAATAAAGCTCCTTTGCATTATTCACTGGGTATTACACTGAGCATTACATTCTCCAAAGAACCTTTGGTTTTTTTCCCCCTGTAGAAGCCACAGAAGTCGTGAAGTGGCAGAAATTCCACCCAGACCTAGAGTTGCCCATCAGATTTTTCCATTAGTTCCTAGAGATTCCCTTTCATTGCTGTTCCTCTTTCTGCTAAAGGTTTCCTGTATTGCTGGCCAGGCTGCCGGAGCCTGTGAAGAATGACCATTATGTCAAGAAAATCTTAAGGAAACTGGAAAAATTCGGCCTGGCTCCTGATTTACACATTGATCAGGACACCTTCCTGAAGGCTGTGACTGATCTCCAGCTGTGGGAGCTGTGCTCTCCTGACATCGCTGCTGCTGTGGAGGTGAGATGGGTCCAGCTCTGGATTCTCTGTGTGATAAGGGTGGGGAAAGTGGACACCCATAGGTGAAGTGCAGTGGAGAGGTACCAGATGAAATCATTTAGGACGTCATGAAGTGAAGATGGTGCTACTCACCTTCTACAAGACACACTGAACCCATCAGAGGAAAGCTGTTATGACAAGGGCTGGATTATTAATCAGTATCATTTCATTATTATGTCATTGTTGATTTATTTACTGCCACAGTGAAAGCGATGTCTGCCATAAATTGTTAGGATTCTCGAGGGGAAACATTCCCTTTCTGTGCCCTGAGGAAGCCTGTCGTTCCCAGGCCTTACAGCTAGGAGCTATTCGTGTTAATTCGTGCCACCAACCCAGGAATTGTGCAGATGCCTTTGTTTTGCTTCAGCAACACGTAAAAAACAATATGCTTCTCAAGGTTGTGAGCTGTGCCCTATTCATGTTGTTCTAGTATCAATTTACAGAAGAGTAAAGATAGAAGGAAGAAACCCGAATACTTTACAATGTGTGCTGCTGTGTAGTCTAACCAAGATAAAAAGGGCAATGATGCCACCTTCTGTTCTTTGTTCTCATCACCATTCTTCCTCCTAATCTGCGAGACAGCAGCAATCCCATCGAGGCACCATGTTACAGCGCCTGTGCATCTTTCATACGTTGAGTTTATGACACGTTATGGGGGCAAGGCACCCGGTGTGCCCCAATCCAGACCACTTGCATTTTCTTGATGTCTTTTAAAAACAGCCATTTTGTCTCGTGCTCTAATCTGTGTAGTCACTAACTAGAGCATTGCCTCAATATTTGTTTCTGTTGCTTGCTGGTGCAGTAGTAATACAGAAAAAAAGATGTAAGCATTGCAGAATCTTCTATTTACACATCTTTTAAAGATACCCAGAGAGGAAAGAAGACTTTGGTATTCCTTGGGCTGGAACAGATGAACAGAACTATAATGTCTTAGTGGCAAGGAGAATGTCACTGAAAGTAAACACATAAACTGGTGGATACCTGCATGGATTCAAGGTGAAGTTGTTGAACTTCAAGTTGCTTTAATGTATGTGGTGCAGTCGTAGGTAGAAGACAGCTGTGTGTCTGAAAACTCAAAGACCTGACTTTGAAGGACTGAGGATATAAATTGCAAGGAAGATCATGGAGTTTTGCTTTTAATTCATTTTAAAGCAAATCCAGCAGTTCTGAAAACTGCATTAAAACGTTTTGGTGATATGAAGCACTGTATTGATTTTATGCAGAAGTCAATACGTTTGTTCAAATTGATCAAATTGAGAGACATATTATGTCTCTCTCTTACACATAGAATTAAATGCTCAGGAAATGACCTTTTTCTATTTCAGTTTGTACGTGAAAGTATTGTACAGATGCCCGAAGAGGATTTCATTGATTGGCTCCAGGCAAGAGTAGACCCTCTCCATGCACAATCCTCTGCCTTTTAATCAGGTGAACAGCCGAGATGGTTTTCCATCCAGTTACAATTGTCATGCTTCAAGCAGAAAACTCCCTCCCATTGAGATTTGCATCATGGAAGACTGGGGAAGGAGAATAACCTTCAGGAAGTCCCATTGACCACCCTTGCACATCTGAAATTTGCCCCTGCACAGTGCTCTGCTGGCTGTGGTCAGCCACAGCGAATAAAAGCTAAATGACTTCTTCCTGTGTGATGTCTTGGACTCGCCATCAAACTTCAGTCTCTCCTAACCGTTTAGAATCATGGAATCACCAAGGTTGGAAAAAACCTCCAAGATCATCCAGTCCAACCTTCCCCCACCTCCCTGGGCAGCCCATTCCAGCACCTGACCACTCTTCTGGAGAAGAAGTATTTCCTAACGTCCAAAATCCTAAATCTCCCTTGATGCAACTTAAGGCCATTCCCTTTAGTTATATGGGAGTTACATTTAGGATGAAGGCTTGGTTCCTACTCACAAGGCAGGTGACTTCTTCAAACATTTCTCCAGCAGTGCCTACATTACAGCAAGCATCTTCTCAATGCAGCTACACGTATCACCATATCTAAATATTACTGACTCTGACTGCTCTTCACTTTACCTCCCATTTACAAAATAAAATAAATAACCCAAATGCAGGTTTGGGTTTTAAGTTTTAATACAGTTCTTTTTTGCTCTAATTCTTTTCAGTAGTTTGGATGTTTTGTTTTCAGTTAACTTTGTAGTTATTCTGTGATTATGGCTTAACTTCTTGCCTTATTAATATCAATATTGAAAAGCCAGGAATCCTTAGACACATTCCTGAGGTTTTCACTTGAAGATACACTTTCCACTAATTACTTTTGCATATATTCTCCATTACTCTCCTGGATGAGACATTAGAATGACAGCCCTGAAGTCAGGGATGGTCGTATTCCATGAGCTTTGTGAATCTGTTCGATGGTCTTTTTGATGGTGGGTCACAATTGCTAGATGATGGGATCAGTGATCCAATGACCTTCTAAGCTGATGATCTTAACAAGCTGCTTACCTGCTTGTCAGAGCTTCCAGAGAACCCATTGGGCAGAAAGGCAGCTCCTTCTGCCACAGTAAGAGAAAATGACACCAGTTAAGGATGCAGGTGAGCAGTTTGACCACTGATGTGTAATATCTTACCGATTAATGACCTTCTTTTGCTCCCTCCCTCATTCTCCTAACAGAATATAAATGTGTTTGTTTGTTTTCTTTCAAGGAAAAGAGTGAAATCCACAAATTGCTTTGGCTTACAGCTACTAGGAAAAAAAAGAGACCTAAATTATGTTTTTTGTGCTCCCACTATTCTCATTCTATATGCATTGGTGGTAACATAGGATTTTTACATCTAATGAAGCCACGTTCTTCCACGTTCATGTTTTTCTTTCCCTCCATTTAAGAATCCAATGCCAAACCTATCTCCAAACTCTGTTGGAGCTGATCCAGTGCCCAGTGAAATGGATGGCCATGCTTCTATCAGATGATAACAAGGATCAGACCTCAATTCCAAATGCTTGCTAAAAGAAGTTTCATTGCAACCCTCCTTGCACTTCAAGAATCTCTGTTCTCTTACCTCTACCGTCTATTTTGGACTTTTTCATCATACCTGAGCCAAGTTTCATTGTCTGTACTGCCGTGTCACCCTGTGGTGGCAGCTGATATTACAAGCAAACAGAAAGAAACCTTCATTTAACAGTTGGGTTCTCCTGGTTGAGCTGCGGGTGCACAAAGTGAAACCTTCACCTTGGCCCTTCCTCACCAAAGGGAAGATGCAGACAAGAAAGTTTTCTTTACATATAAGAAACGGTAATGCTTCAGCTGGAGTTCATCAGTAATGCTGCTGGAAACAGGTAATGATGGGGACTGCTTCTTTAGAAAGAAATTAGATCATCTGTTCTTCTTCTCTGCTATGAGCTTGGGTGGTGGTGGGCTTGCAGATCTTATAAGTTTTTTCCAACCTTAATGATTCTATAAAATCCCTACACAAGCTGTAGCCTTGCTGTAGCTCACACAAGGGGTGATTTGGAGTTATGGCATGTCCTTTTTTGGATGTCATCTGCTTGCTTTCCCCGTTCATTGCATGGAAGGAGTAGGTAGCCTTTAAGGGTCCCTTCCAACTGAAACAATTCTGTGATCTGCAGGAAAGAAGATTTGGGCTTTTTTAACTTTTTGATGTTTTTTTCCCCACAGTTATCTTGGATTCCCCCCAGATACTTTTGTGAATGTCTCACAATCTTCAACTTAATCTTTCAGCACAGCTTTTCCAGGTAGGTTCGAAGTGACCCATTTAACACACTGGTGGTGGACACACCAGGAGACCAAGCAATCTGACAAAGGTCCAAGAGTGTGTGGTAGAGCTGCTGGATCAGTTCTGTCTGCTCACCATTGCAGAATCACAGAATGGCCAGGGTTGGAAGGGACCTCAATGATCATGAATCTCCAACCCCCCTGCCACATGCAGGGCCACCAACCTCCACGTCCAACGTTAAACCAGGCTGCCCAGGGCCCCATCCAACCTGGCCTTGAACACCTCCAAGGACAGGGCATCCACAGCCTCTCTGGGCAGCCTGTTAACTCCCCATTCTGCTCTGGTCCTTTACAGTTTCAGCTAATAGGCCTGTCATCCACAAACTCCATTAGCCCAAATGAACCATCCGAGCTTAGGTTGGTCACCTCATGCTCCAGAGATGCACTTTGCAGGGGCAGAATTAGAGTTTGAAGTAGGGAAAGGATGAGAAAGAAAGCCTTTCTTCTTTGTTGGCACTTCTTTCCTTTTTTTATTTTTCCTGGCCAAGGGTGTTGTTTGTTCTCTGTATTCTTTATATCACTTGTTATTAAGTTGGCTATGCTTTAGTACATGTTATTCTAGATTACACCTGACTATATATGATGGATGTAGGCATTGTAATATAAATTGTAGTGGATTTTTAAAAGAACCCATCACAGCTGACAAATGCAACATTCAGTTCATTTCCAGTCCTAGATTACTGTAACAGTCATCAAAATATTCTCTTGCATAGATAATTTATTTGAATGTTTTTGCAGGGTATCCCAACAAAGGCTTGCCTTTAAGAGGCTGTTTCCTGCCTATGGCTCTCCAAACTGTATTTATAAAGTAGGGCAGGTTGCAACAAATTATGTGTGATCTGTATGAAAACTGCACACAAGAAGTGTGGAGGGAAGATTGCAACACCCAACCGTTCCCATTTGTTGTAGGAAAAGAGGAACAACAGTGACCCATATAATTCAAGTAGGTGAGATTGATATGACAAAAAGCAACCTTTTGCTTTTGGGGAAGGGGATGAGAGGAGAGGAGAGGAGAGGAGAGGAGAGGAGAGGAGAGGAGAGGAGAGGAGA